GCTTTGTGTAGGTGAACATATTTAGCCTGTACTGCCCAGAAAAGTGATAGGCATGTTTGGTGGGTCCTGAGTCCATTTCCCCCCCTCCCAGTTTTGTCATAGACTTCATTCCCCCCTCTCATTTAACACTTTCAAATGAGTATTGTACTTCTAGAAGGCATATCTTTTGTGAAACCCCTAATCTAGAGTGTTAGCTCCCCAATTCTCCATTTTTAAAGTCATAGCTTATGTGTTCATGTTGCTGTTGTTTATTTTTTTAAAAGTTAAGTCAACAGAAATGTCATCACACAGTGAAGCTTGGTTTGCAATGCAAACTTTAGATAAGTTCAAGCCTGGTCCTTGTGTATCATGGAGATATTTCTACCACCACTGCTCTGCCACAGAGGAAAGAGAGAGAGAGAGAGAGAGAGAGAAAGAAAAAAACAAACCAAAACAAAACAAAACGAAACAAACAAACAAACAAACAAACAAACAAAACAAACCCAGACACCTGTCCTTCTAGTCTGTGATTTGCTGGTCCACATTAGCAACTTGATAATGTAATTACTGACATGATTATAATTATAGTAAAATGTCAATATCATTATAATAATATAAAATTTGAACCTATTTTTCCTCTTTCTTCCTAATCCCTTTTTCACTGTGTGTTATGTCTCAAATTATAAACCTCCAAGCAGGAAGCATTTTTCTACATATCTTGGAAGATATATATATATTATACAAACAGTAGGGTACAAATCCTATAGCTAAATTAAATTTTCATATGCAGGAGTTTGAGTTCCATATACAATGTGTGCTCCACAAGTACATGCACATACATAAACTATATTATGTGATTTATGCAAACATAAGCCTTACTCAGTGTTCAGTGTGTGTACAGTGTTTTAAGTAAACACATGAACAGGGTCTAAAGCAGGGGTCGGCAACCTACGGCCCAGGAGCCAGATCCGCCCCCCCCTCACATGTCACGGCCACTATTTTGTTTTCCAAAATGGTGGCCGCAACTCATCTGTGCATGCGCCGAGTACTGCACATGCACAAATGAGTCACGGCAACCATTTTGGAAAACAAAATGGCAGCCACGATTTGCTCGCGCATGCGCAGTATACCAGAAGTATTGCACATGCGCAAGCGAACGTGCACGTGCATGTGCACTACTTCCGGTCTACTGCGTACGTGCACAAGCACAGTACTTCCAGTGTACTGTGCATGCGTGTGGACATGGCGCCATTCCCCCACCACCACCCTTGGCCCGTGGAAGACCTGGGGACCAGCGGACCGGCCCCAGGTAAGGAAACCTTGCCGACCCCTGGTGTAAAGCCACGTTTAGCAGCTCCGTCCTTCATGTCACATAAGCAACATAGCCCTTTGCCTTTCCACTGTCTGTACAATGCAAAAATTTGGACACTGTAGTATGAACCGAAGACTCTCTGCATGTTCCAGCCTCCATGGAAGGTTGAACCCTAACAGCACAGATTACATGGCTATATTTTAATAAAAGAATGTTGATGGACTGTCACAGAAGACCCAGTTTAAAAATAAATCAGCTTTCAAAATTGAAACAATAATACAAAAAGAAACTGTGATAATTGTTCAACTGAACCAACATCTTCCAATATATGAGGAATGGAGAGAGAATGTATTGTGGCATCACCATATAATCCTGAACACATCCAATCTCATCTTTTTTTGGAAGTTAAACATGCTCAAGTTTAGTTAGTATTTAGAAGGATGACTCCACAAATTACCAATTACTGCTAGTCTCGCTAGGAAAGAATTCTGCCTGGAATGCTGAAGAGTCATGGCTGCTGGTCAGAAATGTCAATAGTGGGATGGACCAATGGTGAAAGGTAGCTTTCTTTGTTCCTATGTGTAAGCTGTCAGTAAAAAAGTGTGTTAATTGATATGACAATGTTCAAGTACAGGAATAGGAGCAGAGTGTTGGACTACAACTCTTAGACCAGCGTTTGATTCCCAGCTCAGCCATGAAACCTACTGGGTGACGCTGGGCAAGTCACACTCTCTCAGCCTCATGGGAAGGGAATGACAAACCACCTCTGAACAAATCTTGCCAAGAAAGCCCCATGATAGGTTCACCTTAGGGTCACCATAAGTTGGAAAGTACTTGAAAGCATATAGCTACAAATAGATATAGGGCCCCAGGAATCTCAATGATGTCAAGCTATTCCAATTTTTGTGTGTTATTGTTCATCTGGCAAGCATCAAACCTCTGAACGTAAAACTAAATGGTGAGGTTGAAAGGTGACCAAGCCTATTTTCTTTTAACCATATCTCACTATTAGCCCTCCCTAGTGGGCCATTTACAGGGCTCATTGTCATAAAACCCATGTAAACGACTCTTCAAGTTCCAGAGCCTCAAGAAGAGAGAGATGTTTAAAGTGAATTTATGATTGAGAATAGCTATGACTCCTGACAGAGGCAAGAACCCTTATAAGGACCTTCAGGGCATGTACCTTTTGATGCAGCACACTGAGATTTCACTATGTACAGCCAGGAGGCTCACAAGCCATTCCTCAGAGGCTCAGAGATGACAGTTCCCATTTGTCTTCCAGGTGTCATTTTTCAGAGCTCATAAGAAACTCTTGCAGTTCCTTTGCTGGAGCTAGTTCAGTTGTTTGCAGCACACTCAGTTAGCAAACTGGGGAATAGCCAATAATGGCCTTTTTAAAAATTCATGTCTAAAGAGTACAAGAGATCTGTCAAAACTCGAACTCATGAGCCCAAGAAGTATGAATGCTAATGGAAACTCAAGGCTATAATCAGACATGTATTCAGTTGCTAAAACACAGAGAACATCCATATGAACACCAGTGAACAGCCTCAGGTATACCTGCAGGGCAGGCCTGCACAAATTGTAATGAACGGAGGCACATGGAAGCTCCAGACCAGAAAGCGATCCACTCAGGACTCAATAAACTCACTTTTCTAGCCCAAAGCTGGAAACAAAAAGGGTAGCATACTTATGAAGAACTGGAAAAGCCACAACACTTGGGGTTTTGTTCAGATGGGGCAGATCCCAACTTGTGTCTGCCTGTTGTATGGGTCATCCAAGTGACCATCTTTATATTATGAACACATCTTTCACAGCAATATTACAATACTCCTTAGTTTTTCTCATCACAGAGTTTCAGCGTTTTCAGTAAAGCTATGTGAGAATATCACAAACTTTTGTTATTTTGTGCTTTTTAAGAAAACAACTTGTTTTATCACTGTGTGATTGCCAATACACCTTGGAAAGAGATGGAGCAAAACCTACTTTGGTAAACTTTAAACTTCACATTAACAAGAAGCCTAAGGGAAGAATCCAGCCTAATCCTGTCCACTAAAGGATTCAAAGTCCTCCTCATGCTAGCCACTCTCTCTTGCTAATGCCTTTAAAGGAACAATGAAACAACATCTTTCATCGCTGTTATAAGAGTGGTAGCATAACATGATAATGGCTTCCATTCAACCCTACAGTGTGGTTCTCAGAAGGGATGGGTGAACATTTAAGTTCATTTTTATATGGTTCTACAATGGGCCTGACTTATTTGCTGGGATTGGTTGTTGTTATTATTGTTGTTGTTAATATTGTTGTTGTTTACTTCTAACCTATCTTTCTCCCAATATAGGGAATCAAGACAGCAAACAACACATTTAAAACAATACAATTTAAAAACAATACCAAAGCATTAAAATGTATAAATATAACATTTTAAAAACAATTAAACAAATTTAAAAGTTAAAAGAGCAATGCTTTTAAATGTAAAATGTGTCAAAAACTCTGTACAAAGCTTAAAACCTAAACAGCTTTTAAAGTTCAACCCTTGTCATTTTCAACAAATGTTAGCTCACAAAAATGGTTCCAGGACCCCTGTGGCTACCAAAATCCATGGATGCTCAGGTCCCATTAAATACAATGGCATAGGAAAACAGTGTGCCTTATATAAAATGGCAAAATCAAGGTTTGCTATTTGGAATTTATATTTTTTAAAAATATTTTCAAGTACTGTATGCTTTAATTCATGGATAATGAATCTGTGGATATGGAGAGCCAACTCTACAAATTTCACAAATTTCTTCATATTCCAGGTAGAAAGAATTTGAGATGCTCTTTTTTGAAAAATGAGGAGAGATAAAAATGGATTTTCAGGCCTGAGAATATGAATATTTAATTCTTAAAAGTCTGAGATTCAATCCCTATTATTGCTGAATTCATGTTCACACCTGTCTTTTTTTGTTTTTTTTTGTTTCCCTAAGATACTAATATTAAACAGCTACAGTTAACTATTTTAAACTGATGTTTTAACTGGGCTGTTTGTTTAAGGTCTGTATTCTGTTTTAGTTTAACTTATATTGGGCCTCTGCAGACCAGCCCCAAGGGCCAGCCTGGAGGCAGAGATGGGGAGGGGAAGCTGCATGCCAGCCGCCTCAGCCCCAGCCCAACAATGTCCTGACGCCACAGCATTTTTACGCACTGCGCCGGAAGGGGTGCTAAACAGCCGCACACCGGCTATTAGCAGCAGCCTTTTGCCGCCCCTGAAACGAGCGGCATTTTGCCACTCTTTCAAGGGCGGCAAAAGGGAGGATTGGGGCCATGGCTCCAATCCATGGCTAGCAGGGGCAGCTCAGAGTGACCTGTCTACATAGCCCCATTGTAAGCCACTTTGAATCCCATATTAGAAGAAAGGTGGATGTAAATTGAATGAATGAATAAGCAAACAAAGGAATGTCAGGAAAGCACAGCACAGTCCACTTCACATTTAGAACTCCTGAACTTCTTTGATGCAAAATGTGTGAGAGAATTTCATTTTAGTTTACTTCTGGCAAATTTATATATATATAAAAATTGTTGTTATGTGCCTTCCAGTGGTTCCTAACTTATGGCTACCCTAAGGCAAAACTATCATAAGTTTTCTTGGTAAGTATCTTCAGCAGAGGGGGTTTGCCACTGCCATCCTCTGAGGTTAAGAGAGTATGACTCACTCAAGGTCACTCTGTGGTTCAGCCAGGATTTGAATCCTGGTCTCCAGAGTCAAAGTCCAATGCTCAAACCACTACACTACCACACTGACTCACTAAAGTTTAGAAATACATATAAGAGTCCAGGTGGCACAGTGGTTAAATGCCTGTACTACAGCCACTCACTCACAAACCACAAGGTTGTGAGTTCAATACCAGCTAGGGTCTCAGGCTCTGTTCAGGCTTGCATCCTTCCAAGGTTGCTAAAATGAGTACCCAGCTTGTTGGGGGCAATTAGCTTACAGTTGTTAACTGCTTAGGGAGTGCTTAAGTGCACTGACAAGCAGTATAGAAATATACTTGCTATTGCCATTGCTTGCTATTTGAGACAGAACAAGAGTTTAAACATGAGAATAAAAGTGAAATCAGGAAAACAAGAAGAGAACAAATTTTATGCTGCCTAGATCTGAGTAACATCAAATCTGTAGATGTTATACTATGAATCTTCTCATACAAATTGTTACATCAATGCCGTCTTTTCATCACAAGGAATTTTTTGCTGCACATTCCCATAGAAGATATTATTTTGGGGTGTTAATAAATTGCCTCACATTTACCAGAAGCCTTTGATACCAATGCAGTAATGAAGTCAGCAGTTATCCAATCCTATTGGTGCCAAACCTCATAATTTCCAACAAGTCCTGCCAGCTTTAATAAAATTCTCTTTGTAAGTAGAGGAGCTTCACATTGACAGGTCTTGTTTTCTACATAAGGTGGATGCTGACAACAGCCACCCTAGGCTGTCTGTGACCTACTTAAAGGGCCAGTATACCATTTCATTGTTTTCCTTCTTTCTCTCTGTCCTCCCACCCTCCCAGAAGTACACTGTAAAAGAGGTTTTGTGCATATAAATTTCTGCTGTAGCAACATGAGCTGTGGCCACTGTGGCTCTCTCTCATTGCTGCCTTTGATTCAGCGTTAAGAAAGGGTCTATTCTACTTCTGTGAGTGGTTTCTTGTTTTGTGCCTTTGAGTTTGTTTTCAATTTAAGGGGAACCTTTTAGCAAGATTTGTTCAGAAGGGGTTTGCCATTGCCTTCCTGTGAGGCTAAGAGAATGTGACTTGGCCAAGGTCACCCAAGTGGATTTCCATGGTCCAGTAGGGATTCAAACCCTGGTCTCTAGAGTTGTAGACCAACTCTCTTTGGAATATAATACACTATGTTCATGTGGCATCGGGTGTCTATGAAAAATATCGCACCTGCTGTAAAAGGAATTCAATATATTTTCAAGTCAGAGTAGGATTATTCTATTAGGCTGCTATGTTTGCCATGAGGCTGGTGTTTGCAGCTGAAATATCGTTTGTATTTCTATATCCTCCTTCTCCTCTGCCTCAAATATTAACAACAATACATAGCTCTGAGCAGAGATGGTAGAAGGTGAAGAAAAATCATATCCTGTAGGCTGTAAAAAATTAATTTTGTATGTCCTTCTCTCTTCTCCATTGATGTTATTTTCCATTATACAATCAATTTGAATCAGGGTTGCTTGCTTGGCTTATAAACAGTGATTTCTTTAATAACTGAAGAGTTATCAAGTTAGATTTAACCGCAAGCCAGATGAATCTATAATCTCAGGCTTACAATATCTACAGATAATATCTGTATATGTACCTGCTGCTCACTAGCTGTGTGTGAGAACACAACACAACGCCTCCCACAATGACTATCCACAGTGGCATCAAACCAACTTAAAATCATAGGTGGTGGGTTTGGAAACTTCTTATCTACAGTGAGCTGGAGACACATAATGGGATCCTGTTGTGATCTATAAGCAAACAGCACACCACAGTTCCCCTCACTCCTTCCTTTTAACTTTGTTCCCCACCTTTTCCTTAAGACTACAACTCCAGGCAGCTTACACTTGAAAAAGATTGCAATTAAAACATACAAAAAGCCATATTAAAACTAAATTAAACTAAGAACCATATTGAAATCATAAACATATTTTTAAAATAATAAACAATACAGCATTAATGATCTGAAGCAGCAAGGAGAGGTGGACAACAAATAGGAAATGATTACTATATATCCCCATCCAGAAAAAAGGAGACACAAGAGACTGCAGCAATTATAGAACCATAGCACTAATCTGCAAAAGCAAAATCATGCTCAAAATTCTGCAACATAGACTCCAACCACACATAGAGAGAGAAATCCCAGAGGTCCAAGCAGGGTTCAGGAAAGGAAGAGGCACCAGGGATCACATTGCAAATATACTAATTTGCTAATGGAACGTAGCAGGGAGTTCCAAAAGAAAATCAGCATGTGCTTTATAGACTATAGCAAAACCTTTGACTGCAGATCATGAAAGGCTATGGAATGCCCTTTAGGACATGGGATTGCCAACACACTGGATAGTCCTAATGAGGAATCTGTAATAGGACAAGAGGCTACTGTGAGGACAGAACATGGAGAAACAGAATGGTTCTCAATTGGCAAAGGAGTGAGACAAGGCTGCATCCTATCACCTATTCAACCTATATGCAGAACATATTGTAGGAAAGTAGGCTTGGACATGGAAGAGAGAGGAGTGAAAATAGGAGGAAGAAATATCAACAATATGTGATATGTTAATGACACCATTATACCAGAGAACCTCACAGACCTGGAACAACTACTAAGGAAGATCAAAGAACAAAGTGCAAATGCAGGATTAATGTTGAACATAAATAAAACAAAAATAAAGACCACAGAGAACTTACACACATTCAAACTGAACAGTGAGAAAATAGAAATAGTAAAAGAGTTCTCATATCTGGGATAAAACAGTGATCAAAATGGGGACTGCAGCCAGGAAATCAGGAAAAGATTAAGAATGGGGAGGGTGGCTATGAAAGAACTAGAAAAGATCCTAAAATGCAAAGATATACAACTTAGCCCAAAAGTCAGAATCATACAAGCTATTGTATTCCCTATTACCATGTCTAGATATGGGAGCTTGACAGTCAAGAAAGAAGATAGGAGGAAAATCAATGTGTTTGAGATGTGGTGCTTTCCCTGGCTTTTCCGCCGCAGCGCTTGTGGTCGCTGCAGCGGGAGGTTGTCCTGGGAGCACTGGCCATGCGGACGGCCAGCAGCTCCAAGGGCAACCTCAGGAAGAGGAAGGAGCGCCACGCGTGCGGCTGCTCCTCCTCTTCCTGGCCTCCAAGATGACTCAATTAGTCGTCTGCCAAGGCCCTTAGACTCTCGTACTTTGGACACATCATGAGAAGGCATGAAGCATTGGAAAAGACAATAATGTTAGAAAAGGTGGAGGGAAGTAGAAAGAGAGGAAGGCCACATGGTAGATGAATAGACTTTATTAAAGAGACCACGAAAATGGGTTTGCAGGAGCTGGGCAGAGCAGTAGAGGACAAGGGGCCCTGGAGATGTCTCATCCATAAGGTTGCCACATGTCAAGATCAACGCGAAAGCAGTTAACAACAACAACAAACAGCATTAATAGCCTTTATACAATTAAAAGCCTGTCTGAATAAAAAAGACTTTGCCTTGAAGCAAGGAGAGGGTAACAAAGAAGGGTCCATTCTGTCCTCCTTAGGGAAAAAGTACCAAATTCTAGGGTCAGCCACTGAGAAGGTTTTCCTCATGTTCCCACACCTGCAATGGTGGTGGGATCAAGAGAAGGGCCTCTCCTGTGGATCACAGTATCCGGGTAGGGTATATTGAGAGATACAGTCTGTCAGATAGCCTGCACCTAAGATGTATAGGATTTTATAGGTCATGAACAGGACTTAGCAACTGATAGCCACTGGAGTTATTGTGAGAAGGAGGAAGTTTGAATGATCCCTGTAACCAGTTTAGTGAACACTCTAGCTGCAGCTTTTTGTGAAGTTTCCAAACACTCTTCAAAGATTCCATGAAATCCACACAGAATGTAACCAAGGCATTTGTCACCATAACCATATCAGGCTTTTCCAGGAATGAGTGCAGCTTTAAATGTGCAAAGACACTCCTGGTTGCTGTAGAAACCTGGGTCTCCCAGTTTTATATGGAGTCCAGGAGACCAGCCAAACTGCAAAACCAAGTCTTCTGGGAGAGTGTAGCTCCATCTAGCACAGACTGTATCTCCATTCCCTGATCTGCCTTTTGATTGACCAGGAGCACCTCTGTCTTACCTGGACTGAGCTTCAATTTACTTGCCCTCATCCAGTCTATCACTAATTCTAGACACCAGTTTAGAACAGAACTGGCTCCTTTGGAGGTAGGTGAAATAGAGTTGTGTGTCATCAGCATACAGCAGACTTGGAAAACAGTATTCCAGATGAGATATCACCAAAGCATAATAGAATACAGTATTCCAGGGATTCAGGTTAGAATTGCATTGGCCTTTTGACTCTTTCTGTCATGAAATAGACAGCAGCACCTTTAGACAACCAACCAGTCA